CAAATGGATAAGTAAAATGTGGTATATTGATACAATGCAGTATTATTCAACTATATAAAGAAATTCCGATGCATGTGACAACATGGATGAACCCTGAAAACACAGAAAGTGAAAAAGCCAGTCACAAAAGACCACATATTATATGATTCCATTTATATGAAATGTCCAGAATAGGTGAATTTATAGACAGAAAACAGACTAGTGGTTGCTTAGGGCTGAGGGTAACGGTGGTACTAGGGTGACTGCTGAAAGGTACATGGTTCTATTTTGAGGTGATGAAAATGCTCTAAAATTAACTGTGGTAGTGATTACACGTATCTGTGAATTACTAAAATTATTGAAATGTACACTTTAAATGGGTAAATAATACAATATGTGAATTAAATCCTAATAAAGTCTTTAAAAAGAAAATGTCCATATTTTTAAAAAATACAAATTGAAGTATGTATGTTTAGAATATGCTTTAAAAGGGGTAATGCAAAAGGAAAAGTGGGTTGGATAAAACAAATGTGGCAAATCTTGATAGTTTTTGAATTTAGGTAATGAGTATCTGGGGATGCATTTTGGCTTTCCTTCCAGCCTCATGTTGGACAGTTGTGGATGAGGTTGACTGTTAAACATTTTGGATCTCTAAATAGTAGGCTTTTATTTGAAATAACTTCACTTAAAAAAAAAAAAAAAAAAAAAAACGCAAGTACTTCCAAAACAATCCATCAATTCTCCAAAGCAGCATGTAATTATTTGGTCGGCAAATGGATTTCTTTCTCTTTCTTTTTTTTTGAGATGGAGTCTTGCTCTGTTGCCCAGGCAGGAGTGCAATGACACAAACTTGGCTCACTGCAACTTCCATCTCCTGGGTTCAAGCAATTCTCCTGCCTCAGCTTCCTGACTAGCTGAGATTACAAGCACCTGCCACCATGCCCGGCTAATTTTTGTATTTCTTTTTTTAGTAGAGATGGTGTTTCACCATGCTGGCCAGGCTGGTCTCGAACTCCCAAGCTCAGATGATCCACCCACCTCAGCCTCCCAAAGTGCTGGGATTACAGGCATGAGCCACCGTGCCTGGCCCTGTATTTCTTGACTGTGGTGTAGGCAGAATAAAATACTAAACAGTGCTCTGAACACTTTATGGTTTTGCCTACACTATAAAGTAGTTTTGCTTTAAGTTGATATTTACAAAAATAAAACCTGCAGCTTGGGATTTAACAAGATTTTTAAATTACATGCATTTTTTTACTACCTAGTCTAATTTTGGATCCATCTTTCCATTCTATTTCACTAGGCACTAACATAGGCATGTGGTTCTATACAAATTACAGTTAATATCAACAGTGAGGCGAATTACAGCAAAAATTATCAATAAAAAGTTACCTGCAGAGGAGCTGGTACCATTCCTTCTGAAACTATTCCAAACAATCAAAAAAGAGGGAATCCTTCCCAAATCATTTTATGAGACCAACATCATCCTGATACCAAAATCCGACAGAAACTCAGCAAAAAAAGAAACTTCAGGCCAATATCCATGATGAACATAGATGAAAAAATCTTCAATAAAATACTGGCAAACCGACTGCAACAGCACATCAAAAAGCTTATCCATCACAATCAAATAGGCTTCATCCCAGGGATGCAAGGCTGGTTCAACATACGCAAGTCTATAAATGTAATCCACCACATAAACAGAACCAAAGACAAAAACCACATGATTATCTCAATAGATGCAGAGAAGGCCTTTGACAAAATTCAACAGCCCTTTATGCTAAAAACTCTCAATAAACTAGGTATTGATGGAACATATCTCAAAATAATAAAAGCTATTTACGACAAACCAACAGCCAATATCATATTGAATGGGCAAAAATTGGAAGCATTCCCTTTGAAATCTAGCACTAGACAAGGATGCCCTCTCTCACCACTCCTATTCAATAGTATTAGAAGTTCTAGTCAGAGCGATCAGGCAAGAAAAAGAAATAAAGGGTAATCAATTAGGAAGGGAGGAAGTCAAATCGTCACTATTTGCAGACAACATGACTGTATATTTAGAAGACCCCATCGTCTCAGCCCAAAATCTGAAACTGATAAGCAACTTCAGCAAAGTCTCAGGATACAAAAATCAATGTGCAAAAATCACAAGCATTGCTATACACCAATAACAGACTTAAAGAGAGCCAAATGAAGAACAAACTGCCATTCACAATTGCGACAAAGAGAATAAAATACCTAGGAATACAACTAACAAAGGACGTAAAGGACCTCTTCAAGGAGAACTACAAACCACTGCTCAAGGAAATAAGAGAGGACACAAGCGGAAAAGCATTCCATGCTCATGGTTAGGAAGAATCAATATCGTGGAAATGGCCATACTGCCCAAAGTAATTTACAGATTCAACACTATCCCCATCAAGCTACCTATGACCCTCTTCACAGAACTGGAAAAAACCACCTTAAACTTCATATGGAACCAAAAGAGAGCCCGCATAGCCAAGACAATCCTAAGCAAAAATAACAAAGCTGGAGGCATCACGCTACCTGACTTCAAACTATATTACAAGGCTACAGTAATCAAAACAGCATGGTACTGGTACCAAAACAGAGATCTAGACCAATGGAACAGAACAGAGGCCTCGGAGGTAACGCCACACATCTACAACCATCTGATCTTTGACAAACCTCACAAAAACAAGCAATGGAGAAAGGATTCCCTGTTTAATAAATGGTGTTGGAAAAACTGGCTAGCCATGTGCAGAAAGCAGAAACTGAACCCCTTCCTGACACCTTACACTAAAATTAACTCCAGATGGATTAAAGACTTAACCATAAGACCTAACACCATAAAAACCCTAGAAGAAAATCTAGGCAAAACCATTCAGGACAGAGGTATAGGCAAGGACTTCACGACTAAAACACCAAAAGGATTGGCAACAAAAGCCAAAATAGACAAAGGGGAGCTAATTAAACTCTAGAGCTTCTGTACAGCAAAAGAAACAATCACTAGAGTGAACTGGCAACCAACAGAATGGGAAAAAATTTTTGCAAGCTACCCATCTGACAAAGGGCTAATATCCAGAATCTACAAAGAACTAAAACAGATTAACAAGAAAAAAACAAACAAACCCACTCAAAAGTGGGCAAAAGACATGAATAGATACTTTTCAAAAGAAGACATATGTGAGGCCAACAAACGTATGAAAAAATGCTTATCATCACTGGTCATTAGAGAAATGCAAATCAAAACCACATTGAGATACATCTGATGCCAGTTAGAATGGTGATCATTAAAAAATCTGGAGACAACAGATGCTGGAGAGGATGTGGAGAAATAGGAACACTTTTACACTATTGGTGGGAGTATAAATTAGTTCAACCATTGTGGAAGACAGTGTGGCGATTCCTAAAGGACCTAGAAACAGAAATTCCATTTGACCCAGCAATCCCATTACTGGTTATATATCCAAAGGATTATAAATTGTTCTATTATAAGGACACATGCACAGGAATGTTCATTGCAGCACTGTTTACAATAGTAAAGACTTGGAACCAACCCAAATGCCCATCAATAATAGAGTGGACAGGGAAAATGTGGCACATATACACCACAGAATACTATGCAGCCATAAAAAACAATGAGTTCGCGTCCTTTGCAGGGACATGGATGAACCTGGAAACCATCATTCTCAGCAGACTGACACAAGAACAGAAAATCAAACACCGCATGTTCTCACTCATAGGCAGGTGTTGAACAATGAGAACACATGGACATAGGGAGGGGAGCATCACACACTGGGGTCTCTTAGGGGAGACTAGGGGAGGGAAAGGGAGGTTGGGGAGGGATAACATGGCGAGAAATGCCAGATGTAGGTGATGGGGGGATGGGGGCAGCAAACCACATTGCCAAATACGGACCTATGCAACAATCCTACATGTTCTGTACATGTACTCCAGAACCTAAGTGTGATATATATATAAATACAAACTTCCAGTTTTTAAAAAAAAGTTACCTGCTGACACAGCGCCGATAATTGTCAAAATATATTCTTCCTCTCTCATAGGCTATAGGTGACCTGGAATGAGTTGTCCAGACATTCTTAAATTTAGTACTTTCCTAAAACACACAAAAAATTTTCGTTTAGGAAAGAACTTAGGCTTCCACTGTGTACCAATTTTAAGTTGGATTTTAACTTTTCAAAGTAACATAATCTCACCTACGTTATTTAAAAACATTATTTTGAATCCTTCCTTCACTCTGCCCTCATGTTTTGGTTTAATGAGGTGACCAACTTTTAGAATAATTGTTTGCAGGGAAGACATAAGAAGCATAAAACTAAAAGCATCTGGCAGCCCCATAACCACCTATTGACTAATCCCCCAGATTCCGGGACTTGTATCCTCCTCCCCATCGCCTGTGACCCTATTGAAAAGAGGGGCCACAGTGCGTTAAAACCGCACCCCCACAGGAGGCTGGGCCGTCAGGTGCCGGTAGCCCTCCGTTCCGCCCGGGCCGGCGCGCAGTCACCTGGCACACCAGCGCCCGTAGGATGCCCAGGTTGGTCCTCTGTACCACGCCTGCGTCGCGCGAGAAGCAGCCCAGCGCCCGGCGACTCAGCCGGCTGCACACGTTGGGCTTCCGGGTCGGGCCCATGGAGGCGCGGGCCGGGCGCTGGATAGGCTGGGCCGCAGAGGGGCGCGCCCCACACTCCCGTGCTGGGCAGCCGCAGCTGCCTCCGAATTTTGAGGCCCCGACTTCCCCGGGGAAGCCCAGGAAAAGCTGACACGGGGAGCCGGGCCGGGAGCACCCTGCGACGGGGCTAGGGAAAGCACAGCCGATGCACCGGCAGAGCGCGGAGAAGAGGGAAGAAGCACTCCCTTCTCGACCTGCTCCTCACAGGCTCTCTGGCCGCAGAGAGTGCGACGCTCCGCTACTGCGCCGCCAGCCGGAGCCCCTCTTTCACCGGGAAATGTAGTTCCCAGTGCCTCGTGAGGCAGCCTGGCTTCTCCCAGGAACTACAATTCCCATCAGACGGCGGGAAGCGAGGGCTTGCTCGGCCCCGCCTCTACCGCCGTGGCCCCGCCTCCTCCGGCCCGCGGAGGCTGCGCTGTCTGGCGGGCGCGCTTTTCCGGAGCTACGCGGGACTCGCTGGACAGAGCTCAGAGGGCGTGGTGCTGCTTCCTCCAGCTGTCCGCTGCGTATTTGCGCCCTCCATTTAGGAATCTGTCCCTCACTGTCCTGGTACCCCCACGCCTCTCAGCCCCTGACCTTCGCCCTCGGAGGTTCTGGCCAGGTGCCGGACGGGGCGCTGTGTCAAGGGCGACCCCTCAGAGCAGCGTCCTGTGCTAAAGGTACGCCCCGCGGCTTTCTCTTCAGCCGCACGTTGGCTGAGGGGGACGGTAAACTGTGCTTTTGTATTAGGACGATGCTGGCTTCGCATTCACTCTTAGTTTCACCTTCCAAGCTCGGATTGAGTTACTCTTTCCCGGAGGCCTGTCCTTTGGTGTCCTGCGGGGACACTGGGTGGTTTTGCGATAATTGCTGCATTTTCCTTGCTCTCTCCTCCATTCTTTTTTTCTTTATAGGGAATAAAATATGAGATGCTTACATTATTATTGGACGGCCTAAGATATTCCTCGTCGACATCTCTAAGTAAAAGATATACTTTGTTAACTAGTCCTGCCGGTATGTTCAAAGTTCCTAGCACACTAAACTTTCAGCAGGCGTGCGCCGCATGTGTCCCACCGCCTTGCTGTAAGTCCCTTGAGGGTGGTGTCGTTGTATCTCCCACGTGGACTTGAGCATGCTTGTACATAGGGCGCTGAGGAAAGCGAGCGATCGCATCCGACTGGCAGAGCAAAAAGTACAGTACAGCAGGTCCTCGAATCGCATTCTTTCGTTCAATGTCATTTTGTTATAACTTGATGAGAAAAAAAAAATCAGTTCCTACCAGGGAATACTGTTTGTGTGGAGGTTGCCCCTTCTCCCCACGTCTGCATGGATTTTCACCAGGTACTCCAGGGTACTGCGTCCCACATATCAGTGCAGGCTGAGTGAATTGGCCTGTCTGTGTGGTTCCTAAGTGTGGGTGTGAGTGCGCCTGCGATGGAATGTCCTAGTGTCCAGGGTTGGTTCCCACCATGCACCCTGAGCTGAGGGGATAGGCTCCAGCCACCCTCTACCCTGAACTGGAATAATTGGGTAAATAACTATCTTACTTGTTTTTATTAATCTTCTTTAAATGTATGTATAGCTTCCATTTGTTTCAGTGTTTACTATTAGAAGTGTTTTGGTCTTTATTTAGAAGTTTGGTGATGTTTTTGTGACTAGAAATATATGTTATAGGAACTTCACTCTTGTTTACATCAATTGGCCTCTGGTAAAAAATGGCTTTGTTATATGTCATTTTGCTTACAGTCACAGTTTCCAAGAATCTGTTGATGACGTTAGGTGAGTACTTACAGTACTGGTGAATGTGTTGGGTCAGAATTTAAGTGTTTAGTAAAAGTTGGCCATATCTCTTTTTAACCCTGCTGAGTTTCCTTCAGGACCCGAGCTTTTGCTGATTTTTCATGACTTATTTACAGCATATGATAGAGTGCTTTGTATATTTTTAGAGAGTGCTACAATAGTTAATTTGGTAATTCATGAATGCAGCTGTCACTGAGAAAACTGGAACCCAGAAAAGATAACTGGGTTTTCTTTGGCTTAAATGAAATTCAAATCATTGCTGAATTGGATTCATCAGCTCTCTCATTTCTTCTTCCTCTTTGCCCCTACTTGTTTGTCTTCCTTCCTGTGGTCTTTATTTCACCACCAAGTCATCACTAAGGGAGAATCAGCCTTGATGCCTTGCTGTTGCTCACCCACAACCAAGTCCTTTTGATTCTCTTATCCATCTCATGCGCATTTTATCTAAGTAACTTAGATAAAGTTACTAATAATGTGATTTTTTAATCACATTATTTAGTAGCCTCCTAATTATTCTTTCTGCTTTACTTGTGACACAGGATTTTGTGTGTGTGTGTGTGTGTTGCTTTGCCAGCTGGAGATCTCTGCAGCCAGAGACCTACCTGGGCCTTGCTTGGTCTGGGCTTGCCACAGGAGGTGCCTTGCCAACTGGCCCTCTGGGCTATTCCTGGCTTGCACTCAGGCATGGATCCTGTGGCCACCTGACGCAGGCTCAGCCCCTGGCGGGAGAGAGTGTCTGAGGAAGCGAGTGTGCAGTCATGTGGTGTCCACTTGGTTGCTCCAAATGCCAGCACAGGAGTGGGCTCCATGCAGGGCTTGCAATTGAAACAGGCATGTCACAAGTGACTCCCATAGTGGTCTCTGGCATCCAGACTTGGGGAAGGTGGTAACCAACCAAACAGGGGTGCCTGCAACCCAGAAGCCCCAGAGGTGGGTATTGCAGCGTGCTAACAGCCCTTTTAGACCCACTGTCTGCAGCCCGATGAACAGGGGCATGTTAACAGCTCTATCAGTCCTGTTACCCTGCTCCAGCCCACAGCTCTGGGACTGGCCTTGCCCCCCGCCCTGCTTCCTGTTGTGTGGGGTGGCCACCAGTGCCGCTGGTGGGGCAGAGAGCTACAGTGTTATTGATTTCTTCGAACCCATGTTCAGTGGCATCCTGAGTTCTTGTCCTGCGTCCAAGGATAAGATTAACAACCAGAGGGTGAGGAGGGCAGAGGAGTTTTATTGAGCGACAAAATAGCTCTTGATGCAGGAATTTTGCTCCTCAGCTCAGCTAGGTCTGACTTTTTGTCTCACAACCAGGAAGAATTAGGTGTGTGGAGAGTGAGTAGAGCAGAATTTATCAAGTGAAAGGAATCTCTCAGCAAAAAAAAAAAAGGGGGTCCTGAAAGCAGGTTCCTGGTTGCCCTCTTTACAGTTGAATACCTGGGCTTAAGGTGCAAATTTTGGAGGCTCCACCCCATCCTTCCAATGTGCTTGTGGGCTCTTAGTCTCAGCTACTCCGCATTGATTATTTCCCTTACTGCACATGTGTTAAGGAATGGAATTTTCTACTGTGGGCATGTTTAGGCAAGCCCCCTGTGCAAGGTCCCTTATCTACACAAAACATCTGGTGTAAGCACTTGTGAGTCAGGTCATAGGTTCTTCGGGGACTCTTCCCTTACTGTTTGCCTAAAGCAAGCTGGCTAACTCCTTTTACTCTCAGCTGAGGGGGGACACGAGGGTGGTTCCCCCACCCAAAGTGGGGTGGCCTCTTCCAGAATGGCTGGGTCCAGGGGCTTTCAGGGGTTCAGAATGGGGAAGTGCATGCTGATTGGTTTGTGAGTATGCACAAGAGGCTAAAACAAAGGTACCACTCAAAAGTGGGCACAACAGTATAAAAAACAAATTAGAGGAGGGTGGGTATATGTAAAATATGTAAAGGATAGGGATCAATCAGAGAAAAGTATGCCAAATGGGAAGAGCATTTCTCAGTCTGGTCCATAGATTTATCAAGGACATGTAGCTAGGCTTTAAGCTGTCTTTGGCTTGAAGGTCGGGTTTCACTGAGGACCCACCCCCACCTGCCTAGGATTTGTCTCCCTCCTGCTCCTATTACTTGGGTACTTTTAATTCTAACCCTCCTCCATACTGCTGCCAGACTAATTTTCCTAAAGCATAAGCTGTCACTTGGCTGTTGCATTCTTTCAGCAGCTCCCAACACCCGTACCAGAATTTATTTATTTATTTATTTATTTGAAATGCAGTCTTGCTCTGTTGCCCAGGCTGGAGTGCAGTGGTGCGATTTCAGCTCAATGCAACCTCCACTCGCAGCTTCAAGGGATATTCCTGCCTCAGCCTCCCCAATAGCTGGGATTACAGGCACACACCATCACACTCAGACAATTTTTATATTTTTAGTAGAGACAGGGTTTCACCATGTTTGCCAGACTAGTCTTGAACTCTTGACCCCAGATGATCTACCCACCTTGACCTCTCAAATTGCTGGGATTACAGGCATGAGCCACTGCCCCCAGCCTATAGCAGAATTTCTTACACCCAAGTAAGATACCCAGGATCCTCCATTGTTAACTTAAAATCTTTTTAGTATGTTACATATATGCAAAGATAAAATTAGGTATAAACTCCTTATGTTGTCTCTTCCTTTTTTTTTTTTTTTGTCTTTTTGATTTGTGTGTGTGTGTGTGTGTGTGTGTGTGTGTGTGTTGTATCTTTTATATACTGATAACACCCAAACATCTACAAGTTAAATGAAACAGAACAATAAAACCAATAAATTCAAATGATTGTGAGCAATGAGGCTTTAGCTGGACCTGAAAAGCTTTAAAAGTGGATATTTTCTGTGGCATACCTTCCTTACAGAAAGGCCTGTCCATATTGCCCTTGCGTTGGAGAGATTACTTGATGTCTTCACCACTTTTCTTTATTTAAATCACCACAAAACCTTCCTTTGTTCAATATTTCATGGTTTCATTTGTCCTTCAGTTGACAAACAACATAATTTACATACAATAGTCCCCATTTCATTCTCATTAACATATACCAATGACAAATGGCACCACTTGTTTAACAATACACTCCTAAACACACATATGTGAACTCAAATCTTGTGATAGCACTCAATTAAGAAGTGGTCATTCAGATGATCCAGAGTGTCCTTTTGTTAATATTCTTTTTTTTGTAGATTATTATCAAATTGAAATTGAAAGGTTTCTTCTACAGAACTCTCATAGCCTTGAGGATACATGTACAAAATCCCTAGGGGTTCACATAGTTACCTTATAGTACAAAATCTGAATCTCTTTGGTTAGAATGCCTGGCACTTCATTATCTTCACCTTGCCCACATTTTCAGCCTCATCTCTTTGACCATCCCTCATGTTTGCTTTTGTTGTTCTGACATGTTTGTGGACTTTCTCAAGCCAATATGCCTTTATATTTGGGATTTTCTTTATCTGAAGCTTTCTTTCCTCTCTTCTTATAAGTTTTATCTCAAGACTCATCCCAGGTATCACAGCTCCACTGAGACCCTTTTCCTAACTCTTCCAGCTTGGTTAGTAGTCTTTTCTGTGCTTCTATGTTACTTTGTACACTGTTGTGGCACTCTATTAGAATTGTCTATTAGAATTGTGATTTGTCTTCCCAACTAACCTGGGCAGAAACTGAGTAGTACTATAATTCTGCCTCTAGGCTGGGCGCAGTGGCTCACACCTGTAATCCCAGCACTTTGGGAGGCTAAGTGGGGTGGATCACGAGGTCAAGAGATTGAGACCATACTGGCCAACATGGTGAAACCCCATCTCTACTAAAAATACGAAAGTTAGCTGGGCATGGTGGCGCCTGCCTGTAGTCCCAGCTACTTGGTAGGCTGAGGCAGG